ACAGAAGATGTAGAGAATCGTTACAGGTGTCTCTCAACATGCATAAACTGGACTGTCCCAGAAGAAGTAGGGATATATGGTTATGCTTGAATAGAAGAGTTGTAGATCTCAGATTTTAAGATAATAGATAATTTATCTATTAATGGGAATACCCAATCAGAACTAAGGATAGTTCTCCCCACCAATAGGAATAATGTCAAAAATAAGGACATATCTAATTAAGTTTTTATTCTTTTTATATATCATTGAGTCACCATTGAAAGGAGAAACTTTAGGTAAGCCACTTCTCTGCTTCTCAGTTTCCTGGAAGTAAATAGAAAATGATAACGTTTTTCTAATTTCTAGATAACCTAAATGATCACTTTATATTCTATAAAGATGGGAGCAGTATTTGCCTGAAAATGAAATGTTTTAATTACCTTCCTTTGGCATGAGTTAGAAAAAATTAAGATGGTGATCAATCTATACACAATATCTGTACAATGAAAAAACGTGTATTAAGTATTATTATTCAGGTTGTAGTTTGTTTGCACAAAGAGAAAAGTACAGTCTTAAGGGATTCCATGTTGCATTTAGTACTTGAAAAGCCTACCAGTCAACTAGGCGGGCTTTTCCTCTTTACATTACGGTGAAATGCTTTGATTCTGACTTCTGTATCTCAGAACTCTAGGACCCAAGATGGTAGGTTACCAGCATCCTCCTGTTCCTACTCAGAGAACAGACATCTTTATAAAGGTGACTTTCAAAATCATATGATTTTTATGTGCATCATACAAATGGGACCTCTAGGTGTTTCTTAGGACTATGGGCTTCTAAACAAAAGCTGAATCACCAAGGGCAAATTGCTTCAACTTTTGGAATTCCATAATACCCTGCTTGCTCTGAGATTTAAATGAGATACTGTACCTGAAGAGCTTAACATAATGTTTGGCACAGAGTAAGCCCTGGATAAATAGGAGCTGTTATTAATTAGAATTAACCTGAAAGACTTGGAGGAAGTGTAGAGTGCTTTCTTTTTTGCCTATGCTATACTTAGAGGATGTCCTACATCTGGTGTTTAAAGAAAAGTGCCCTCAGAGAACAGCGGCTTCTCAGAAATAGAAAAAGGGACAGTCTGACGTTAATTGTGCATAAAATGCATCATATTCTTTCTAATTACTTACTGATTTTCTCTGGAGTGTGTTTCCTTCGTGATGAAGAAATAGAAAAACTGCTTATGCCATAGGAAGCTATATGTGCCTTTCATTTAAATGGTGAAACTGTTTTATATTAAATAAGATCTACAAAAACAGAAAAGAGATCTCACTGTCTTGGAACTCAGCGGCTGCGAATGTGTTCTTCCTGAGCTCAGAAGAGAGGCTTTGTCTTAGAATTTTTAAAATCCTAAGATCTGCATTTTCTTTTCTGATTTACGCCAGTTCCATCAGGCTTCCCGCTCTCCTGAGTTTCTTGTTCTGTTCCCAGTCTTGTGCCGCATAGCAGCGTTTCTCCAGAGGCCTCCCAACACTGGCAAGAGCAGCTGCTCTCCCCGTAGATGGCACAGTTGTTGGCACTGGAAGAAACATCCCCAGCAAGCAAGCTGTTCTACCTTTCTGTAGCCAGAGCCCCTGAATATTCACAAACAGCACCGGGAAGGCATAACTGTAGATGTTTACTCTTAGATAAATTAAAATTAATGATCCACGTTCTTCATTCAGGCTGTAATTTTTCCCTCTTAGAATAATAAGACCATACATTTTATTCTATCCAAATGGAAGATCACAGCTAAAAAGCAGGCTTATCCACAAACATGGAACAGCTTAATTTTCTGTATATCCCAGCTTTTGCTAATAAAAAAGACTTTAAAAAGAAAAACCCTCAATCCCTTTGAAGGCTAGAGCCCACCTCAGAGAAAGCAGACTAGCGGCTAATTAATGGAAACATCACTTGGATTGGGGCTCTGTGATCCAGTCCGTCCTCTCCGAGAGCCACTGTGTGCAGGCTTCGAAGGACAGGCTGGCGAGTACCTGGTGGGGACATAGTTCCTGGCCTTAAGAAGTTGAGCTCAGTTCAGTAAATGCCCTGTGCTTGCACTGATGCTCACCACCTAACAGGGATTGACTTTACCACGTAAGGTGAGCTGTAAGTGCAAGAGAACATTTTAAAATCTAGTGCCCCAAAACCCAAAGACAGGAAGGTTTAATAGCTGTGCTTTCTGAAAGCACTGGTCAGACACAGTGGGGAAGACATTCGCAAATAATTATCTGAGTGCCAGACATTGAATCAGGCATATTCCACATGACATCTCATTTTAAAATTGTGATATAAAGTTCCTTATTTATGGGGCACCTGGGTGGCTCAGTCAATTGGGCATCTGCCTTCAGCTTAGGTCATGATCTAAGGGTCCTAGGATCGAGCCCATGTTGGGCTCCCCACTCGGAGGAAGTCTTTCTCCCTTTCCCTCTGCCCTTCCCCACTGCTCATGCTTTCTTGCTCTCTCTCTCTCTGTCTCTCTCTATCTCAAATAAATGAAAACAAAATCAAATATATAAAGTTCCTCATTTTTTTGTTCATTGTAAATGAAAGAAATTGAAAAATATGGTTTATTTAAAAAAGTGATCGTGGCAGACATACTATTTTGTAACTAGGTTTTGCTGCTTAGTACATTTGGGCATTTTCTATGTCGTTAAGTATTTTTTTTCACACTGATCTTAATAATTATATGACTTATTTAACCATTTTAGCCTTATAACTATGTTAGGTAAGAAGATGTAAATATGAGGCAACTAAAACCATTAAAGTATTAGGAGAAAACATAATTTAAAGGGTGGGTGCTTCAAAAAAATATATACATATAAATACATATATATTTAGAGCAGTGAAATTGAGAGGAAGGTATAGAGATTTCCCATCTGTCCCTTTTAGATTCCCAACATCCAGAGTGGTATGTTCGTTACAGTTGATGAACCTGCACTGATATTATCCTCACCAAATCCAGAGCTTATACTGGGGTTCACTCTTGGTGGTTTCCATTCTGTGGTATCAGACATGTGTATAATGGCAAATGTCCGTTGTTACAGTATCATCCAGAGGACAGGCACATCTTTAAATACATGGTATTGGGGCGCCTGGGTGGCTCAGTCGGTTAGGCGGCTGCCTTCAGCTCAGGCCATGATCCTCCGGTCCTGGGGTCAAGCCTCTCGTGGGACTTTCTTCTCCCTCTGCCTCTGCTGCTCCCTCTGCTTGTCTCTTCCTCTGTCAAATAAATCTTCAGAAAAATTTTTTACTCAGCAGGGACTTTATTCTCCCTCTGCCTCTGCTGCTCCCTCTGCTTGTCTCTTCCTCTGTCAAATAAATCTTCAGAAAAATTTTTTACAAATAAGTACATGATATTAAAAAGGTACAAGCCTTAACAAAAAAAGATGAGTAATTTTGAACACCGCCAAATTAAAAATTATTTGTGTATTAAAGTCATTACAGATAAAATTTAAAGGCACTTATCATGTAATTCTCACAACAGTTTTATGAGGTAGATGCCTCGATTCCTTTTCAAGAAGTGAAAACCGAGGGACACCTGGGTGGCACAGTCAGCTGGGCGGTGACTCTTGGTTTCGGCTCCGGTCCTGATACCAGGGTCATGGGACGGAGCCCCATGGGAGGCTCCGCGCTGGGCGTGGAGTCCTGTCCCCGTGAGGGATTCTCTCCCTCCCTCCTGCCCCTCCCCACCGTACTCTTGCGCACATGCTCTCTTTCTCTTTCTCAAATCTTAAAAAGAGCGAAGACTGAGGCACGGGGAAATAGTGTGCAGATCCAGGCGTTTCTGGGAGGTTGATTATTTTGGTGAATATAGAAGCTGGTAGATTGAGGGGCGTAGTGAGAAGGAGGTTCCAGTTTGGTCTCTGCAGCGGCTTTGATGTGCGCCCCCCTTTACCCCCTTCAAGAGGACGGATGAGCTTCATTTCAGACAACTCCATCCTGTGAAGTGTTCGTTTCCGTACACTTTTTCATTATATTGGCTGTGACCAAAACCTTTTCCAGGTGTGTCCTCCAGCACAAAATTTCAGAGACTTCAAGGACAGGCAAATGCAAAATACAAAAACTGGAAATCCCCTTTTACGCTTCCTTATAAAGTGTACTATGCTATCCCTTAAATAGTAGACAATCTCAAGGCCTCAGTTATGTTGGGACAGTATAGATCATTAACTACTTAAAGAGACAGGAGGAGAAAAGCCAGAACTGTGTGAGCTATTATTAGTTGGGTGAAATAAAAGATTGATTATTGCTCTCATCGTAGTGTATCAGTGGAAAAATCTGGAGTAAAAAAAATTGGAGTGCAAATGTTTTTAGAACATATTTAGGTGAGTTCAATCAAGTTAAAAATCCCACCGTATCTTAGATAAGAGCAGATGCCTCATTGATTGAGTACAGTAAAATGTTTCTGTGCAATTGATCTAAAATTTGATTTAAAATGGGGATATAATATCTACCTCCTCTGGAGTAACAAAATTTATGCTATGTAATAACCTTGACACATTTACAGAATCATGTTTAATGGGCCCTCCAGAACTCTGGTGAATACCACAGCTTGGTCTGTTTTCTACATCTTTTAGGAATCTGGAAAAGCTGTAGGAAATATATCTGCCATAAGGTTTTTGCATTTAGCTCAACTACTGCTTTCTTGAAGTTTAGCAAGAGTCAAGAACTCTATATTCTTTATTAACTGCTTTCAAAACTGAATTTAAGAGATGTTAATAGCTGTTTAGAATTAGTATTTGAATCGTACTACAAAGACTATGAAGATTTTTAGCATTGTAGAGTCCTACATGGAACCACTTAAAAATGAATGGACTTCATTGTTTAATTCCAAGTATATGCCCATCTGTTTGCATGAATGTACAAATAAATACATTTATTTTTATATTATTAATATAATATCTATTAGTAATAGATATTATATATTATTTTTATACAAAGTATACATATTGCATTTTTACAAGTACACTTTATTTTTTCCCAAATAGATAAATAATCAGATCCTGTATGGAAGAAGTCACCAAAATGCATCTGCCATTATTAAGACCGCCCCATCAAAGGTCAAGCTGGTTTTCATCAGGTAAGATAGATAAATGTGTGGTTTTCTAAAATCAAAGATCTCTTCTGAAGTTGCTATTATTTTGTAAGACTGTCTTGTCTTTGGTTTGTCTAACAAAATCACCATATTCTAAAAATACATTTTCCTTTTTTAACTGTCACTTTAAGGAAAGCATAAATTGTTTCAATTATGAGGTTTTCTTGTTGTTTACATTTCATATGATGTAATTAGTGCTTGAGGTTGGTATTTGTATTCAGTTTTTTAAATTTCTTCCCTTCCTGGAGCTGATCGTCCCCTCAGAAGAACCTTCTAGTTTCCTTCTGTCACCAACATGTGGTATATTTGCTGACTCATTGATGTCTCCATCAAGGAATAGGCAGGAAAACAGAACCCAGGACATTTTAGGAACTTCATAGTAAGAGTGCTGGTGAGAAATCCAGAGGGGATCAGATGTGAGGTTTAGAGTTGTGTGGTATGTTTGCGTTTCCACATTTTCCCTTACCCTACCTGCTACCTGACTGCATCCTTCTGGCATAAACAAGTCAGACTTTGGAATTCCCACTGGTGGTAGCTATTGTTGCCTCATCATCAATGGAATGTCTCATTCCTTTTATTGGACCAAAGTGGCTGATGAATCTGAATTTCATTAAATAATGTAACTAACCCTGTCCATTAACTGTTGCTCTGGTTTTTTTCCTTCTGAGTCTCAGATAACAGCTGTAAAATGAGAGTAATAAAGCACCTACCTCATTCATTGTGATATGTAAAAAATTTGAAATGTTGATGTTGAACACACCCTCTCACATAGAGTGGAGGCTGAAAGGGTGTTGGCTGGTGTTTCGTGACAGATCATTCTTCTTCCTACTGTGACTGGTTACCTGTCATTAAGACCTATCCATTCTTAGGGACCCCTGGGCTTCAGGGTTAGTCTCATTCCCAGATGTGGGCACTAATGTAGGTGACTGACGTACCCTTTCCCATGCCATCATTTCAGCTTGTAGGGTGTTGTTGCTGCTTTGCTCCTAAGGAAATCCTACATTAGTAACCTCTCTCCCACCCTGTTGTCCTTCCTGGATTTCCAGGTTTTTACTCTTGTTTCCAAAAGGAGAATCCTTTCTCCTTCTCAGTCTTGTGTGTTAAGACAGCCTCCTCTTGCTCACTCACCTTGAAGTCCTCTGTTAAGCACCAATCTCCTTTTTGGGTTTCTCTGCCCTTCCTGTTGCCAGAAATTACAAAATTAGAGTTAGATGCTGAAAACATGAACAGACTTGAGGAAAGGTCAGCCACTCAAAGCAATGAAGGTGTCCCCCATGGACAGAAATGCCCGCCGGCTTGAACACCTTGCAGAGAGTCATGTGAGGGTTCCGTGAGCGGGCACCCACAGCACCCACCAGTGTCTGTGCCTCACCCTCAGCACATGGGGGCAACTGCTGCAGGTGTGTCCTTGACGTTGCTCTCACCTCTTCACCCATATGAGGCCATCCCGTTTTAAAGAGCAAAAAGAAAATTGGATGGGATCCAAAGAAAACCATTCACGCAATTAAGTAGTTAGGAAATAGAACGCTCCTCCTTCAAGGAAGAAAGGGTACATGATTTGAAATTATTTAGAATACAGAAGAGAAAGCTGAGGAGAATTTTAATAATAGTAATGAAGCCCCATTAATTTAGTGTCTGATGATTTCAATTTTGATCATTCAGAAGAGATCAGAATCAAGGAAATCATTTGTTCAGTAAATTAATAGTGTAAGCATGATTGAGGATACCACAGAATACTTATTTACTGGAAGGGATTTGAAGCAACTTAGAAGTATCAATGTACATTCCAAATATGTAATCTAAATATGAACCTTTCTTGCATGGTCGTTAAATTGTAGTGCCTAAACACATAGTCCGCATTCAGAAAGCTTTATTGAATAAATTGCCTTTCAGCTCCTTCTAAACAGTTCCAGATAATTTATTCTCCAAAGGCAACAATCATAGTAAGTTAGTTTTATTTATTTTGTGGACTTAAAGATACATAGAAAAAAAGATACATATGGATAAAAAATAATTCATTATTTTACAAAATTTCTCATACTTAAGTCCCTCTCAGTACTTTCCCAAATAATCTAAGCTGGGGAAAGTTTTTCTAGCTTCCTTTGTAAACATAAAATAAGATGTAGGTGTGATTTTTGCATAGTCTGTTATCATCCATTTTGAGACTGTGTAAAGAAAAACGAGTTTAAATTGAATCAAGACAGATGTATGCACTGCTAACAACCTTTTGTTTGATTCAGTAGATACGTATCTGGTAATTTGTCTGCCAACGTTTTATTAATGCTTCAGTTTCCATAAGGGAAGGAATATTCATCTGACTGAGAGCCTGAGAGCTCTTACCTAAGTGACAAATTCTTTTCTAAAGCAAGCTTGAACTCTGAGGCTTAGTGATTAAGAGAGGAAACCCTAGATTCACCCTGTCTCCTGAAACCTGACTCTAGAATACCCCAAGTGTGTGAGCTTGTGCAGTTTCCTGAGAAGCAGTATGCGATGATATAGTTACCTCAGGGCACCTGGGCAGCTCAGTCAGCTTAAGCAGCCAGCTCTTGATTTCAGCTCAAGTCATGATCTCAGGGTCTTGGGATCAATCCCCACGTCAGGCTCCGAGCTCGGCTCCTAGCTCAGTGGGGCATCTGCTTGAGCATTCTCTCACAGTCTCGCTCTCTTTCTCTCAAATAAATAAATAAATCTTTTTTTTTTTTAAGTCAAGTGTTTAAATATATAGATAGATATTTATAGCTATTTCATAGATTGTCTAATGTGTTACTATGTATAAATTGCCTAATGGTATGGGCTCACCAATGTTTGCAGTGTGGTGATGAAGATGATGATGGTAGTGGCCTGAAAAGGGAGGGAGAGAGAGAAGGAGGTTACAGAAGTTAGGGAGAAGGAAAGAGAGGGAAAAAGATAAAGCCCTCCTGTCCATATATTTGGTCTCATTCCAGAATCTTTTTTTTTTTTTTTCAAGATTTTATTTATTTATTTGACAGAGATCACAAGTAGGCAGAGAGGCAGGCAGAGAGAGAGGGAGAGGCATGCTTCCTGCTGAGCAGAGAGCCAGATGCGGGGCTTGATCTCATGACCCTGGGATCATGACCTGAGCCGAAGGCAGAGGCTTTAAGCCACTGAGCCACCCAGGCATTCTCATTCCAGAATCTTGAGTATTTTTTTAAGTGAAGCACATTCACAGTTTAAGAATTTTAATTAACATCATAATGATTAAACACTAGAAGAGATAGAGCATTGGATATTGTAGATAAGTGATAAATCGCTGAATTCTACTCTTGAAATCAGTATTGCACTGTATGTTAACTAACTAGAATTTAATTAAAAACTTTTAAAAATCATTAGAAGAGATAGCTACAGGTATTATATAAATCATTTCTAATAAATGTTAAAATAAGAGACATGGACATAGCCTACCTAAAACATCTCTGTTGTTCTGTGTCTGCTGCTGCTTCTTCTCCCCCCCCCCTTTTTTTTTCTTCTAGCTCTACACCCACCTGGGGCTTAAACTCAGGGCCATGACAGCCCAGGAGTTGCACGCTCCACCAGCTAAGCCAGACAGGCACCCCTCCTCCTCCTCCTTTTAAGTGATGGCCTGGTATTCTAAGAAGCAGTAGAATACCGTTTAATGAAAGAATATATAAAGAAAAATCTAATTAACATGAAGTAATCCCCATGTCAATAAAATGTTATAATAGATTTTACTGGGATGAGTAGCATCAAATAGTGTCAGAATTTAAAACACTTAAGGTGGGGCGCCTGGGTGGCTCAGTGGGTTAAAGCCTCTGCCTTCGGCTCAGGTCATGATCCCAGGGTCATGAGATCGAGCCCCGCATCGGGCTCTCTGCTCAGCAGGAAGCATGCCTCTCCCTCTCTCTCTGCCTGCCTCCCTGCCTACTTGTGATCTCTCTCTCTGTCAAATAAACAAATAAAATCTTTAAAAAAAAAAAAAAAACACTTAAGGAAATCAAAAAAAGAAAAATATTTCATGCACTGTGTATATCACCAGTGGGGGTGTAATGGCGGATTGGTGACCTATTTATGTGTGGCAACCTGTGCATTTCCAGTGCTGTCCAACACATCATCCTCTGTCCTGCAGGCTGATTATCTAGTTCATCACTCCTTTATATACACCCCTGCCTGTAGGTTACCTCTTTCAGACTACTGGTATCAGAACCCTAGTTGTGCCTATTTCGGAACCAAATCCTAAAGCAGGTAAGTACTGGTTTCCTATCAAGTGTCAGGAGGTTAATACTTAAATCATCCCAGCACAACAGGTGCAATTACACTTCCTTTAAGCTGCATAACTTACGCTGTATAATGTTACCTTAAACACTGATATTTAGAAATTGTATTTCTTTATAGTTAGTGCTTCTGTTTGCTAATCCCTCCTTCCGTAGTTGAAATTAATGGATTCTCGGTGCATTTCCATCATAGAGAAATTTTTGGATTCTATACCTCAGCAGCTCTTTTCCAAATTTATTGACAATCGAAATAAAAATGGGAACTGGCCACAGATTTGAGAGTATGATTAGCAGTAATCACAGAAAGCTGTTAAAAGGTGCTGCAGGCAACATTGTAATTAACAGGGGTCTTTAGTCTGTAGTGATGTACATTTGTGTGATCACGTCCTTGTCATATGCTTTTAACACTTGTATTTATTCATATACTAATTGATCTGTAGTTCACAAGAGGTCTATGAGTCATTAGTGAAAATTAGCAACTTGCTGCTGTGTATACATGACTGACTTACAGAATCACTCCCCCCCCCCGCTTTCCCCCCGCTTTGTCCCCACATTAGATCTTGGACAATCCCGTAATCACGTCCTTGTGTCTATAGCACATATGGACTTTAGTATACTAGATTATTCTACGGTGGATAATCCAGATGTATTTTACAATCATGAATTCTTACTATGTAGCACACATTCAATTCTGTGGATTTTCCTATTCGACATATCCCCTCTACACAAGCACTA